TCTCTCTCTCTCTCTCTCTCTCTCTCTCTCTCTCTCTCTCTCTCTCTCTCTCTCTCTCTCTCTCCACACGTATTTCTCTGTATATAAAACCGTTTCCAGATGTGAAGAGTGACCAAAATCGGACAGAAGAGAAAGTCGGGCGAAGAGTGTCATGCAACGGTGGATGACTTTCTACTACCGGGGGCCAAAGAAGATAAGACGACTGACATGGAACCCAACAAGGGTCGTATAGTAGACAGACAACGAGAGCATATAGACAGGCTAAGAGAGGAGGTGGATAAGCAGAAACAATTGGTGAGAGAGTTCTCGGACGAACTAGGCCGTGTTAAGTCACTGCTCGGCGAAATGACAGAAACTGCGGAACACAGGATGTTCACCGTGTTCTGGTTGTTACTGAACGATCCTAAATGTTTAGACATAACTCGTCTGAGGGAGGACATGTCTGCCAGACTGAAGGCAATAGCTGAAACAAAGACCACCACGTTTGATGAGTTCTAGACATGGTTGGATATTGAAAGGCGCAGGCGCACTGCGGTCTTGAACCGGTTCGCAGCCTATGTCACAGAGAGAACTCAGGGGGAATCACAACGACGGAATGTCGCGTCTTGTGCCTGCCCTGGCAAGTATGTGCTGAAGGAGGGGTGGGCATCCTATGATAGCCAAGCGTACACTACAAGTTCGCTATCTGCTTCGGAACGCAGTGTCGTTGACCTCTTGGCCTTCGCAGAAGACTGTATCCGACACTGTATGGAAACCGTGGAAGAATACGGTCTTTGTGACGAGGGTGTGACGTCTGTTAAGGATGACCTTCCTAGCAATATGGCGTCTCTGTTGAGCAGTTGCGCGGACGTCATGGATGCCCTGCAACACACTCGAGGTAGGTTGTTGGGTGGAGAACTGACGGTGACATGTGTGAATGAAGTTGTCATGGGAAGTGCAGAAGGTGAAAGGTCGAAGGCGAGTGAAGAACTTGACACAACAATGCAGACGACGTCCAGAGGGATCGGGACCAGTGTCGTGGAACTTGCGCCTGCGCCGCATCCCCTGCTCGTATGCACCGATGTTGCAGCACTAAACTGTCACCAGGTTCGTCACAACTTCCCTTGTGTCGTTGCCAGCAGAGCACCTTCTGCTGATGCAGAATCTGTTGTGCTGCCAATGACGACGGACACATTCGAAAAGTTTGTTGCAAATGCGAATTCTCGACAAATGGCGAGGCTGGTTGCGGACTTTCTGTCCCATCTCATATCATACATCAAAGAGATTATGGCACCGGTCTTTACGAACGCAGGCCAGCATGGAGGGAATCAGAAATGTGAGCATTGCAGGAAAGGACTACACATCTACGACCGCTTAAAAACTCTCTACACTAGATGTCAAATCGTGGCAGCGCGGGTGGTCAGGGACGCGTGATCTCTCTCTCTCTCTCTTTCTCTCTCTCTCTCTCTCTCTCTCTCTCTCTCTCTCTTGCATTCACATACTTGTGGTTGGCTACTGCTTGCCATGTACATATTCCTCTCGCGCTTTGTGTTGTCGTTCTGCCCCGCAGTAGTAAACCGCCGTTGTTGCTGCATCACTGCCTCTCGGACAGCATGAGGTTCACTACTGCCAGCCAATTAAGGTCTCTTAAGTGCTGTTTGTTGGAGTTATGGCCCGCAGTAGTGAACCTCGCGGTGGTAGTACAATGTAGTTTCCCTGCTACGGAAGGTTCACTACTGCGTGCCATCTAAGTGTTAACTGTTCCTGTTTGTTGTCGTTCTGGCCCGCAGTAGTGAACCACCCTCTGTCGATGCATCACAGCCTGTCTGATAGCATGAAGTTCATTACTGGCGGCCAATTTCGGTCTCTGAAGTGATGTTTGTTGGAGTTATGGCCCGCAGTAGTGAACCTTCCGTGAGAGTACACTCTGTAGTTTCCCAACTACGGAAGGTTCACTACTACGTGCCATGTAAGTGTTAACCGGTGCTGTTTGTTGTCGTTCTGGCACGCAGTAGTGAACCGCCCTCTGTCGATGCACCACAGCCTGTCCGACAACATGAAGTTCACTACTGGCGGCCAATTTCGGTCTCTGAAGTGATGTTTGTTGGAGTTATGGCCCGCACTAGTGAACCTCACGGTGGTAGCACGCTGTAGTTTCCCAACTACGGAAGGTTGCGTGCCATGTAAGTGTTAACCGGTGCTGTTTGTTATCGTTCTGGCCCGTAGTAATGAACCGCCCTCTGTCGCTGCACCACTACCTGTCCGACACTACAAGGTTCACTACTGCCGACCAATTTTCATCTCTCATGTCATGTTTGTTGGAGTTATGGCCCGCAGTAGTGAACCTCGCGGTGGTAGCACGCTGTAGTTTTCCAACTACGGAAGGTTCACTACTGAGTGTCATGTAAGTGTTAACCGGTGTTGTTTGTTGTCGTTTTGGCCCGCAGTAGTGAACCGCCCTCTGTCGCTGCATCACTGCCTGTCCGACGCCACAAGGTTCACTACTGCCGGCCAATTTTCATCTCTCATGTCATGTTTGTTGGAGTTATGGCCCGCAGTAGTGAACCTCGCGGTGGTAGCACACTGTAGTTTCCCAACTACGGAAGGTTCACTACTGCGTGTCATGTACGTGTTAACCGGTGTTGTTTGTTGTCGTTCTGGCTCGCAGTAGTGAACCGCCATCTGTCGATGCATCACAGCCTGTTCGACAGCATGAGGTTAACTACTGCCAGCTAATTTCGGTCTCTCAACTGATGTTTGTTGGATTTATGCCCGCAGTAGTGAACCTCGCGGTGGTAGCACACTGTAGTTTCCCTACTAGGGAAGGTTCACTACTGCGTGCCACGTAAGTGTTAACCGGTGCTGTTTGTTGTCGTTGTGGCCCGCATTAGTGAACCGCCCTCTGTCGATGCATCACAGCCTGTCCGACAGCATGAAGTTCACTACTGCCGGCCAATTTCGGTCTCTCAAGTGATGTTTGTTGGAGTTATGGCCCGCAGTAGTGAACCTCGTGGTGGTAGCACGCTGTAGTTTCCCAACTACGGAAGGTTCACTACTGCGTGCCATGTAAGTGTTAACCGGTGCTGTTTGTTGTCATTCTGGCCCGCAGTAGTGAACCTCGTGCTGTTGCTGTATCTATGCATGTCTCTCTGTCAGAGGTTCACTACTTCGTCTGTATTTGGCAAGAATGTGATGTTTGTTGGAGTTATGGCCCGCAGTAAGCAACCTCTCTCTACTGTCAAAAAACTCTCTCTCTCTCTCTCTCTCTCTCTCTCTCTCTCTCTCTAGGGTGAGGGGGGCATGGCGGAGCTACGTGTTCTCATAAATGTACGTGGTGTCTCATGCAATAGATGGAACCCGCAATTGCATCGACTGTCAACGCTGGAGAGACTTGCGTCATGGAGTCAGAGGACATTGTGAAGGGTCTTGCAGATGGCAGCAAGGAAGGGATTTCGGTTGAGATGAACACCACTGACTGTGCAGACGTGCTGGCAACAATATATGCACATACTGCAGAGATGATGGGTGATGGTGATGAATCAGACAATGATGCAGGAGGGAGCACTTGTGAGACGGAAAAGGTTGGGGAAGAGAGAGGAGAGGGAGGTRTGGGGAGCAGGGAAAATCATGCAGGGTGTATTGTTGAGGATGAAAATGTGGTCAAGACATTAGCARGAGAACADTTCCCATATGACATCAATTGGGTGCCTGGTCGTGTTCAACCGGGTATTGTTGGAGGAGTACCCTGCTTCGCGTTCAAAGTGGCTGGGACTTGGGTTCCATTTCCTGTCCCCAAAACAAGCGCATGGTGAAACGTGACTCTGTCAATCGTGTTTGACAGAGTTATAAGGTTGAACGATGCGGCAAGAGCTCAGGAGAAAGGGCAACATGCGTTGAAAATGTGGCGTGTTCTGGAGGCGAAGGGAGAGTTGAGGCTTAACGATTTTTTGTACGACAGTTTTGATTGCGGAACGCCATGGGTGATTGATGGGAACGATGCAGCAGTGAGAACGGTGTGCCCCGAGAATGATGCAAGGAGGGATCCTAGGTGGGGTTTGGTGCCATATGAGATCCCGATTACATGTGGCCGGGTGAGGATGGAGATGCGTGATGCCATGGGAAATGTCTGGAACACGCATTACATCAATGGCAGGTTCTCCTTCAGGCATCTCAACAGGGAGGTGTCAGAAGAGAAGAAGAAGGCAATGCCATGTCCCCCTCATACTGCTAGGTGCTTTTTCCTGCCGCTTCGGAACCCTATGAAGTTGGAGGTGGTGGACGAGAAACTGTTCTCTAGTGAGGATGGTGCCACATACACAGCTGTAAGAGGGCAGGAAACCACGTATGATGGACTATGGTCGCAGATATGGGACCATGTCACATTGAGGCGTGACGTTTTGACTGCCACGGACATTGGGGCCCATGTCATCCCTGAGGGACAGTTGCAGCAGCATATGGCCCCTGAAAAGTATGGCTATCACGTCAATTGGGTCCTGGGATGTTTGCATCCTGCAGTGGTTGATGGCAAGGTGACGATGGCAGCAAAGCTGCAGTCAGGGCAGTGACTCTCATTGGGATGGATGCATGCAGGCGTTGTGGAGCATTGGCAGTTCCTGGTTGTTCGGGCACGTGTCTTAATTTTCAATGTAAATGTTAAGGACCACGTGTTGTTGGTTGAACACGCAAAGCGCTGTTGGGAGAAGATAAGGGAGGAGGACCGTCAGATGGTGTATGCGGGTTACGACTCCATGGCAGACCAGGGGATGTGGTCCATGATTGAGGGGAGTTGCGCTGGGCAAGAGCACGGCGACGGTGAGAACATATACATGGCTCACATTCGCCGCAGACACCGTTGCACGACCCTTCTTGGCTGGGTCCCAGTCGTATGTCCCATGACATACGAGCATGGTGGAGACGTCACCATGACATTCACAGACCCGCTTGGTGTGCCTTTCCATCTGACCTACTCCGATGGACTCCTGTGAGACATTCGGTATGTCGTGGAGAACGACTTGGCAGGT